GCTCTGTCCCCTTTCAGCTGTGGCCACAGGGTGTGAGCTGCCCAGCTGGGCCTCTTCTGCCATCCTATTCTATCAGCGCTGAAGATCCTGTCCTGCAGGGGGTTCCGATCAATGGGTACCCCTCCCCATTGCTCCCACACGAGGCATGGCCAACTGTTCCCAACCAGCCTTTCCCAACCAGTCATTCCAGAAGGTGCCTCAGTGGCTCTGGTGTGCTTGGGAACCTTTGCATGCCCAGTTAGGACCCCTTACTCTCACTGCTCCAGATCTGAGGTGAGAGAAGGCATCTCAGTGGGGAGTGGGGCTCGTCCTTCCTAAGCTCTGTCAGGGTGAGGGGCCTGCTTACGCTTTGAGTGTGTCTAAGCTGAGACCAGACTCCCCGGAGGTGTGCTGAGCTGAGCTGGGCTGGGAGCAGTTTTAGGAGGAAGGAGCCCTGTTGTGTGATCAACAGCAGGAGGGACTCACTAGCGACTGCCTGCTACGGTCAGTGGTGTAGACGGTTTGTACTGAGTGCTTCTCTAGAATGTGCTGCGTGGTGGGATTTCGCAGGGATGGTATCTGGCTGGTGCTGACTAAGCACCTCCGTGTATTCTAGTACTGACCTCCTTGAATACTAGCAAATGCACTAGCGCTGGGGCTCTGAGACTCTAGTTCTGAATAGAGGAGCTGCGGTGGCCTTCCTTTGCTCCTGTCAGTAGTAACAGAAGCCAACTCCAGTCAGTTTAAACAAAACAGAACTAATATTGGGCTCTGGACCTGTCTCACAGAATCTCACACAACCAGGCCACAGGGAGGATTTGACTCAGGGCCTGGGGTCCTGCTGGACCCTCTCTCGTTTTTGCAGTCCGCTTCCCATTGCTGGTTCAACTGGCAGACACACCCCCAAAGATCTCTCAGTAGTAGAAACCCCCAAGCCAAATTGTCAAAAGAGAATCTTCTGGGGCCGGCAGATGGCATGGAGGTTAAGGTGGCTGGAGCCTACATGGTCAACTGCAGGGTTTGAATTCCAGACACGCTGGCTTCCAAAACACGCCGCTTGTACATGAGTGCCCAAAATCCCAAGAGGAGAATGGAGGAAAAGGGATTGCAGCAGGGCCATCCCCCCAGAGGAGTCCTTTCTCACACTGCACCTTGCTCCTTCTCTCTGTCTCGCTGGCGAGCACACACGCCCTATAGCAAAATTACGAAAGAAAATCTTTTGGACCTCACTTGTGTTTCGGGCTCACCTCTATTCAGTAAGTGGCAGGTTGCCAAACGTAATCATGGCTGCTGGGGCTCTTCGCTGCAGTGAGATGGCCACTAAGAGTGGACCCAGGATTCCAAGAGCTGTCCGTCTCAGGGAACCATCCCATACCAACACGGCAGGGCCTTGACGGGGAGCCACTGAGGACCTGTGCTTGTGTCCCTCATTCTCCAAGACGTCCCTAGGGGTGGCAGGGACGGTGCCTCTTACTCAGGAAATGTTTTCTGATTAAATTAAATGCAGCATCTACTCTCTCCACAGTTGTAGAGACTAAGGACTGGGCCCCACTTCACAAATGAAGACACACAGAGCTAATTTGCTCAGGTTACACAGCTAGAGCTGCCACGTGAACCCTCAAGGTAGATCTAGCTCCCAAGCCGTGTGCTTTCCGCTAGTCACTCAACAAACACTTACTGAGCACCTGCTATTGGGTTGTCAGGAAAGTCATGATGCATTGTTGCAGAGAAAAATATGTCACGACTTTCCCAATAGCCTGATACAGGCCGGGCCTATTCTAGAAGCTCAGGAAGGTAGTTTACAATGAAGTTTATGCTGCAGGGGGTAGACAACATTCCAGACAGATAAAAACCAAAGCATGTTGGAGAGGGATATCGGGTAAGAGGAAGCAGGAAATAAAAGAACTACGGGAACGGAGAGAGGTGTTGGGGAAGTTGCAATTTTAGACAGAGTGACCAGGAAGGTCCCACCGAGAAGGTGACAGTGAGGACATTCCTGAAGAGAGGGAGGAAACCATATGGGGAAAAAAGCATCCCAGGCAGAGGGGACAGCCAGTGCAGAGGCTGAGGTACAGGAATGACAGCGAGGGTCCGAGAGATCAGGAAGGGCTGACGGTTTCTCCGAATGACACAGGGCACAGCAGGATTTCAGGCGGAGCGGTGACGTTACCTGCTCCACTTTTTCATGGGATCACTCAGGCCACTAGACTGAGAATAGTCTGAGGTGGGAACTTGACAGAAACAAGGAGACTGGGCCCTACCTCGTGCCCGCCCCTGCCATCGCCTCATGGAGCCGAGGACAGTTCAAATCCACACCTCCGTGCCCACAGCCGGCACCTCCCCTGACCTTTGCTACCACCCATCTGAGCTCCCTCTGCTTTGGGGACAGAGTTCAACAACCCTGGAAGGAGTCTGCCTTTTCACTTTAACTCCAAGTTATTTGATAAGACTCAGAGCTGGTACAAAGCCTGCAACAGTCCGTGATTACGCTGTAGAAGAAGCCTTTAGGTTCTGCTTTCCCCACCCCCAACATTTCCTTCAAACTCTCAACAGAAGGAGACAAGCAAGGAAAATCTCATAGGTCCCTTGCCCCCGCTTTCCCCTTGCAGCTGGGCCTTGGGGCCGGCTGGAACCAGACACTCCTTGGGACCAGGAGGGTAAATAAACAGTCTCTCACCTGCAAGAGGACGCCACAGGGCAGCCTAGCCAGGTCCCCTATAGCCCCGAGCCCTCCTATTGCAAAGAGGAGACAAATTCCTGGCAGGTCTGTAGCTGGTCCCAAGATCCAGCCTGCCCCCAGGGAGGTCAGCCAACCCTCACCTTTTCTTGAGGATATCCAGGGCTGTGTCATCCAGTCTGGGTCCTCATCCAGTGAGGACCCAGTCCCAGCCAAACGTGGCAGCTGAGTCCTGGAAATGGGGCCAGTCCGAACTGACACACACTGAGTGTAAAATACACCCCATTTTCCAGACTCGGTACAAAATGAAAGACAGCAAACTATCTCGATAGCTTGTGTATGGAAATACACTTTAGAATGAAATACAAGACATTGGTTTTAAGGTATCCGTGTCCCCTGTTCCTTTCTCATTGGTCAGTATGGCCAACGAAGTTTAAACCAATGTGCGGCTCATGCATATTTCCACTGGACAGCGCTGTTGTCGCCACGGCTGAGCCCAGCCATGCCCGCGGAAGAAATCAAAGAGAAGACAAGCACATTTTTCGGAGCCGATAATGGAAAGGTAACTTGGGTTTTTTCTTTTCTATTTCACACACATCAGGAGAGAGCAAGCCGCAGTCTGAGGGGCTATTCCTGGAGATGGGCCACAGCCTCCGACAGCCGCCCCTGCGCCAGTCTGGACGGTGGTATGCGTGTGGTGCCAGTCTGCCTGAGAGGCAGAGCCCCGACCGTGTTTCTGTTATATTTCAGAACCTCGGTGGGCACCTCGCACGGTCCAAATGCCTCCGCGTGGTGTTCAAAGCCACATATAGCCTGAGCCAAATGGGTCGTTCCAGCTTGTCTGCCATGCTTCCTGCTCAAAACGCCCACACCTATGGCATCGCGCTTTAACGTATTCAGCCAGTCATACGATCAGGTACTGACTGAGCACGCTCATGTGCCGGTGCTGGGCGCCAGCTACTTTAGTCACATGGTTGCAGAATAGGCACTCTGTGAACTCACAGGAACCAACATCCAGTGGCAGGGTGGGGAGGGGGGTTGACTGGCGAGTACATAAAGAACAATCAAGCACACTTCTGTAAGAGCAGTGTAGGG